ATTTAAAAGGGAAGAAGACACTTTTACAGTGAAGAAATCTGGTGGACACTACCTTAACCAAGTCATCAAACTTGTCATCACTAAACGGCCAAATAACATTATGAGCTTCCTGATGTGATGCAATGGAAAGAGCACAGCATCAAGCATGGACTCTTCCTGACAGACTTGTGTAATCTGAATCTCGTCATCAGACAAAGCCATATTCAACTTTTTATAAGGCACCTGGCCTGAATTCTTTACACAAAGTCAGTTTCTTGAAAGGGGAAAATAGGCTGGGGCCTGTTCTAAATGAAAAGAGACTAAAAAGACATGTCACCTCAATGTATGATCTTTGATTGGATTCTGGATGGAAATTAACAACAATCGATAAAAGGACATTACTGGGACTTCTGGTGAAACGTGAACATGCATGCGTCAGATTACTACTGCACCCACATTACATTTCTTGGGTGTGACAATGGTATTGAAAAGTTAGTTCTTAGGATATGTAAGCTGAAGTATATGGAGAGGAAGTTTCTGCAACTTCTTTCAAATAGTTAAACTACAGTAACAAGCAAGCAAATATATTTTTGTTATTAGAAGGGGAGGCAAAACGTTGGCCATTGATAAATCTGGGTGAAGTGTGTGTGGGTGGAGTTCATTTTGCCACTTGTTCAACTTTTCTATGAGTTAATTTTTCACATAAGATATTTGGATGTAAAGAGTGAGTAAATAAATAAATACAAACAATGCTCTTTCATGACCTGCCGCTGGCACTCCTTATCTATCACCTGTAGTTAGTGGACTAGCAATGTAACCCAAATGGCCTCACATGCTATGAATTCTGGTTCTGGGCCCTATTTTAAAGTATATTTCTGTGTGCTCACAGTGGGAGAGTCATCACCCTGTAATTCTAGTAGTGGCACTAAGAATTATGATTTTCCAAATTATAATAAGCCCTGATTGTGATTTGGTGAGCTTTTATCATATACATATTTATTGAATGAATGAAATTAAGTGTCTTATAGGAAATAATATCCCATGGATGGCTTGTTCATGTGAGTTTTATAGCTGTTAATAAGGGGACACAGTCACTGGACACCCTTTGTACCCTACTTCTCACCCTCTCATTCCACCTTCGGATGCCAGCCATTGCCATGGCAACCACCACTGCATAGGTGTGACCTAGCAGTACCTGAGGCAGTACAGCCTCACCTGTAAAACCTTTCTCTCACTCTCTGTCCTGGGACTTTTCTGCTACCTCTGTACTTCTTGGGACAAGCATGAGGGAGTTAATATCCCTGTAGGTGATTCTAAACCAGTAGAGAACTAGAGCCAGAGGATGAACATTCTCTTCTCTCATTCCCTACATGGGAAAATCTGAGGCACGTTTCACGGAGATCCTTAGAGGGCTCCCAGGAAAATGGAGCCCTAGTTATCCGTATTGGTGACCAGCTCAATTCAGCACCTTTGAATTGGCTTTCCCTCCTCTTCTGCTTAACTTGTCCGGTCCTTCAGTACTGATTTTTGGGACTGATTCCCCAAATCAGTGACCTGCACACAAGCCTTTGTCTCAGGCTTTGTTTTCGGCAGATCCTGGGCTAAGACAATGGAATCTGTCATAACACTTATTGTTGAAGAGCTTAAGAATCGTTATTATTATAGTGACCACTTTCTAGGAGGCCCTTTGGTATCTGGAAAAAGCATTAGGCCAAGAGTCAGGAGACTCTTCCTTATTGTTACTTGGCCTCGGGCAGGTCATTCAACCATCAGGTGACTGGTAAGGCTGCAGTGACAGGGAGTTGAGGAGAAGACGTGTAGGTAAGTGTGTAGGATTCCATTAGCTGGTTATAGGACTGTGTCCTCCAGTGTGTAGTGTAAAGTGTTGAGAGTAGCAAGGTAGTTCCCGGATCTAAAGGTGCTGTGGTAGCAGATGAAGCACCCAGAGAAGGGCTGGTGGTGAGACTTGTGCAGGACTTCCGTTGTTTGAACTGAGACACTAAGTAGAGAATCAGTGGTGAGAAAGAAGCCTATCCTAGTCCATAATGGGGATTGAAATGTAGGAACAAAGTTCTTATCAGAAAGCCAGGTAGGGCAGCAAGGGGGGGTCTTGGGTGAAAAATCTCACAGCATTAGGCTGGAAACTTGTTCCATGGCATCAACCTAATATGAGAAACTGAAGATGGGGAGTCGTCCCAACTCAGAGGGAAGGCAGAATGAGGTCTTACATGCACAGGCTGGTCGGACACTGTAATTACTTGTTTCATTGCATGGCTCAGGGTAATTCTGTGACTTCTGAGGCTCCATGGTATCCCTTTACTCGGGGCTGGGCAGTTGCTGTGCTGTCTGCTACAGAGAGGTACAGATGTTTACTGTACATGATTAAATCCTGTCTCTTTACTGATACCCCAAGGGAATACTTAATGAATGATGCTCCCTTTAAGAAGAAGAATTAACAATAGCTATATTATTCATATTAATTTATAGTTACTGGTTGCTATAGTTAATGCAATTTATGAAAATCATAATAATTATAGCGCTTTACAATTTAAAGAGTGTTTTTCCCATCCATTTTCTTATCTGAGTCTTGTAACATCCCTCTGGCTTCGGTAGGGCAGGTGATGTTCTCCTAGTTTTATAGATGAGGAAACTATGGCCCAGGGAAGAATTTAACTAGACTCCAGTCCACCACCCTTACCAATATTTTGTGCTGTCTATGAGTATATGGGAATACAGTGATCAAATTCATGTTAATAATAATGTTTTATAACTGCATATAAGAGAATCAGGTTCACCCAATTCTCAGTTGCCTTCCATAACACAACTGAGATCCTACCTTTCCTTGTACCAGAATCCATTGCCAGAATGTTCACTTGAATTTTAAATTTTTGAGGGTCTTTTTTTCTTAATAATACCACAGTATTTCATAGTTATTAATACTCAATGAAGTAAAGATGAGATCACCTCTAATAGAGGGATTAGCTCTTTGAAAACATCTGGTCCAAGGGCAGAGACCCACTGGTCTTAGAGGGTTTGGTCAACTGGAAATTCAGACTCTGAGAAGACATAACCAACCTGTCACTTCACTGTTTTCCCATTTCTGGCTGTAGCAAGAGGGCTGAGGAAAGCCTCTCAATTTTCACAAGGATGACTTTCAAATCTGGGCCATATAGCGTGAAATACACAGACACACACAAGTGTGTACACACAGGCACACTGAGCCTTTTGCTTCCCTTTGCACCCACTGATCCTGCTGTACTTTTAGCTGATTTTACCCAAAAGATGTTTATAGGGAAAAGGTTACGGGCTGGACCTATGGCAGAGTCTGCCAGGGAAACAGACAAATTCCTTGCCCTCATGAAGCTTACATTCTCCTGGGGAGTCTGATGATAGACAGACAAATATACATAAAATACAATGTTAGATGGTGATAGATATTACAAGAAAAATAAACCAAACAGGGTGAGGGGATAGAGTGCCATAGAGGGGTCATACAAATGCATCCAGAAAGAGAAAATGATGAGAAGGTTGTTTTAGATAATGTGATTAAAGGTACCCATAGTTAAAGAGGGCTCACAAGAAAGATGCCGCTGCCTACGGGGCAGGCAGCAGTCTTCGGGTTTGGCTCCAAGGGGCTGGGCTATAGCTTCATACACCTTGATGTTATCATCGTGCCTGGGATAGATAAGGTCCAGAGGGATTAACTCATGCTGGCTAAATTCACAAGAGACTGACCAATATTGCTAGATCCCAACAGAGATGTTTTATGCAGAGAATTAAATAAGGTATAAGAACTCAGGGAAGGTTTTGGGAACAAGCTTCTAAGGGAAAAGAAACTAGTGGTCTTAATTGGAAATACCATTATGCTATCATTGTCTGCTGCATGATATTCATTAAAAAGATAAATTTACCCGGAGAATTGTAAGATTTTAATGCTAGCTTGTCAGGGACCCTAGGTTTTATTGTCACTGAGGAAACTCTGGTTTCTTGGTTTTTTTTCTAAACTCTTCCAGACACTTTACTGCTATTTAACTTCCTTAGACAAGTACAATAGAGTTAATTCCATTACACTAACTTCCCATTATTTCATTCCTACAGGGCCTTACTGCAGATTCACTTTGATTTCTTGATGGAGTCTTAAGATACATTCTCATCACGTGTCCATGATCGTTATTACATTGTCACCTTAAAAAATTATTTTAACTCACCCTGCTTCCAAATTCTAGGGCGACCTTTATGGTTCCTTGGTATTTCACTCTCTATTTCCTTGCCTTAAGCTCTAGGCAAACTGTTTGCTTGTTTGTCCTAAGCTTGCTCCCACTTCCTGGGGATGCCCTTGTGGCGGTGTTATTGCCCTCTGCTCGCTCCACAGGCATTCTCAATGCCGGTAGCAGTCGGTGTTCGTGCTAACATGGGACACTGACATATGAAATCCACAGATCCCCCGGTTCATAATCAGTGGTCACTGCCACATGCTTCCTCTGCAGCCCCTTGGCCAGGACCCTGAGCGGTCTTATTCTAGTTCACTTTTTAGGGGCATCGCTCGGGGCTTGCCATCTCTCTCTGACACAGACACACCTAGTCTACTGATCTCACACTGAATCCATTCCTCTTCCTGGACTGTAAGTCTCTCCTTGCCTTTTCCTGCTCCAACTAAAATGTCATCATGCTATACAATGGTTTCTGAACGTGGAATTTGCATTATGTCCCTAGTTGGATCTGCTCCTTGAGCGCAGGGATGGAGACATTTACTTCCTTTAACTTGGATATTCATCAAAGGGAATATCCTCTAAATAAGAGTATGACTTTAGGAAAATCACCTCATATGTTTCAGTTTTCTTACCTGTCTAAGAGGAATAATTCTCCAGCCTACCTCACTGAGATTTTATAAAAGCTAAAAGAAATGAGGTGCAGAAAAACTTGGACAGAGTCACAGTATAACTTGAAAAATTTGAACTCAGATTGATATGGATGGAAACTGGAAATTTCCCTTTCTAACATGACTGTGTTGCTTCTCACAGGGAAATCCTGGAGGCAAGACCCTTGAGGAGAGACGCTCGAGCCTGGACGCTGAGATCGACTCATTGACTAGCATCTTGGCCGACCTGGAGTGCAGCTCCCCCTACAAGCCTCGGCCTCCACAGGTAAGAGCTATCTGCAAATAGTCACCACAGATAACCTGCAATTATCTGAAAGAACAAGCTGCTTCTTTTATCCCTTCCATTCTTTTTGGATTTTCTCAGAGTCAACGGTCTAAGTTGTCTTTTTATTTAACATCAATGTGTGTTAGTTAACAGACATTTCTTTCATTGATTTGATTAGTATTTTCTTTAAAATAACCCAACAGTGTTATACACAAACGTTATAAAATTAAATCTCTTATTCCATTGCCCTGCTCTTTTTCTGGCTTTGTCTAGGTGGATATTTTGTTATATGTTGGTATAATCTTCAGAAATATGGCTTAGCATGGCTATGTTAAAGTTAGGCTGAGGGCTACATCTTTTCTAAGAAATTCCTTACGTTGGATATTGAGGCGGCTTGCCTTTTTGCTTGTTGGAAGTAATGCTATATGGGGCATTTTCGTGTATATTTTCTTTGGAGCTATTTCCCTAACTCAGGTTTTTTTAGAGCGGGATTTCTACATTGGGGATTACGAGTGCTTTCTTTCCTTTTCTTTCCACGGGTGGTACATAGCTTATACTGGCACCAGCAGTTTGAATATATCAGATTCTCCCCAATCTTACCAGAATTTGGTGACAGCAATTAATCTTATTTTTTTTTTTTAATGCAAATGGTGCCTTGTTATCAGTTCTTCTTTGTATCCTTTGGCTCCCTTTGGAGCATGGCTATTCTTCTGCACCTTCATTTATTATCTGCATTTTGGAAGCCGACCTCGCACTGCTTGTGGTCATTCCCTGCTTCCCTCCAGTCTTGAGAAAGTAACGGCAAGTCAATTTCAGGGCTTGTGAGTCCTCAGAAGACAGCCAGCAGGACTCCGCATGCAGATCTTGGACTGGCACTATGGTCACCGTGTTGTTTGACTCTCGTGGGATGTTTGCTTGACCTACAGCACTCCAGTTCTCCAACAGCAGCCTCTGTATTCACAGTGGTTCATTTCACAGATGAAAAGCCAGTCCTGCTTCTCTGCTGTCAGTCATTTCAACACAGAACTTCGTAAGGTGCTTTCCTCTTTAGACATGTTCCCGTTGCCTTTTCTAGACATACAATGGGACTGTCAGCTATGTAGGGGCACAAGGGGAAACACACTAGAGCTCAGCTCTTCCTCAGCTCTCGTTACCCTTGGCTCCACTAGACCTGTCAGTGGTGAAAATGCACTTTATTTCTGTAAACACGCGCTGAGCTGCAGGTAGGTAGCATGGGCTGTGGTCTTTTGGGGGAACTGTTAGGAGGTTGAAAGGGAGAAAAATAGGACCGAGTTGTCATCTGTCAGGAGCCTATAATATCCTAAGTTCAGCAATGGCAGATATATAGAAGCACAAGGAAAAGAGCGAGATATTCTTTGAAAGGTGGCAACATCTGAGAAGGTTCATCCGAAGATTTGCACGTTCAGCTAAGGGATGGGTGGAACGGTGATGTTGGAAGCAAGAGGGGAGAGAGAGCAGCCTGAGTCACGGGGCAGGAAGGTCCAGGCCGCATTCAGAGAACTGCAAGCAGCGTGATGGCTGCAGACGAGGCCATCGCAAGCTTCAAGTGGACTACAGGCCTGGGGACTTCCTGCTAACAGCCTGTGGGCTTGTTTGAATGCCAGATTAAGATTTTGGTCTGTCTTTTATAAATAATGGGGGATAGTTGAAGGTTTTCAAGCAGGGGAAAGCTATGATTCATTCTGAAAAAGGAACATAGGAAATAAGACAAACTCTGAAAAGATGCAAGAGGATGGACCCAGGTCTCAGAAATGTTTTCCAGCAAACTGTAGTTTGATGTTAAGCATGTTTCCAATTCCACCCAAGCAAACACCTCAAGCCCACTTTCTCGGAACAGCAAGGCCACTGACTTTGTCCCTGGACTCATCCATTTCGTGAGTAAATACTTCTATGCCCTCTCCCCCTTTTTAAATAGGAGTTTTGTTTGCTCTTTTTTTTCCCCTCCTGAATTCTCATACCCTGATATACACTGGGGAGATTCTGCATAGAGGTTTTTGCTTAATATAGCCTTCATCCTTTAAGACTGTGTCTACACATGCCTCCCATAAACCACTGCATTTTAATGAGTTTGTTCAGTAGCCACATTTTTGTTTGAGCAGTCTCACTGTGCACACAAATTCATAATCACTGATTTTGGACAGTGCTTTACTGATTGTAAAACAAAGCACTTTCACATCCATTCACACTTCAGTGAAATACAGGTATCTCAACTCTGAGATATAGACGGTGTGCTTATTTTGTGGATGAGGAAACTAAGTTAGGACATATGACTACAATGTGAGCACAGCTGGACCTTGAATTTAGACCTTGTCTTTGAGTTTTAAGTTCTAGAACCAGATTGAGGATATCCCTCTGAATGTTTTTCCTTTTATGAGAAAGCCATACTCAAGGGACACTAATCAGTCACATGAGTAACAGTGTCCCTAGAGTATGGCTTTCTCATAAAAAGAAAAATATTCAAAGGGTTAAAAAAAAAAAATTAGGGCGGAGGGGCAATATAGGAGTGGGGGAGTGAAAGGTACAAACCATTGGGTATAACATAGGCTCAAGGGTATCTTGTACAACACAGGGAATATAGCTAATATTCTGTAATAACTGTAAATGGAAAATTACCTTTAGAAAGTGTATAAAAATTTTAAAAATTAATAGTGATAACTCTTAAGTAGAACAGGTTGAGAATTCCACTTTTCAGCTGCCTGTTCCATTCAGAAATTAGAGAGTGATCCATTCTAACTTCTTTATTATTCTAATTTAGGAAAGCAAGTGTTAATTGGGAGAAACAGCTCATTCTTCTGAATTATCTTTACTCTGGTGGAACTAAATTAGATGTGTTAGTATTTATTGGTTAACATAATTATATGCTGTGAGAACAATAATCACACACTTAAAATATTAGAAGTATGTGCTAAGAGAAGATGATGTCTGCAGTAGACTGTGTTGTGTTGTAATCAAAAGGTACTTGAAAAGTCCTAGAAATGTAGACTGTTACTGCCCAATTTTGATGTTTCCATTTTTGATCCAAAGCAAACTGCAAAACCTGTTGAATCACCTGACTACTTAAAGTAGGCTAGCAGGTCTGTGATTTCTCATTATTCAAGCCTGTGTTGTGTGCTTTCCCCGAACCCACCTCTGAATCACCTTGCAAGGCTGCTTTGACTCATGGATTGAGCAGAAAAGGATCATATAGGTGGAATGTTTGTACAGTAAGTGGTCCAAAGTTGCTCTATTCACATAACAACTTTGAAAAATATCTGAGCTCTTGAAAATAGATTTTTATGGGGCATTTTCTTCCTTTTTCGAAAGGGGCAATTTCCACTCTCAGATTTCCCAACTTTATTTCTGTTCACTTATTTATCCATATTTTTATTTGGGAAATACGGCTTCATTCCACATTTTCATTCATTCAGCTAACATTTATTGAGATCCCACTGTGGATTAGGCATTGGAAATATAGAGGTTAGTGTGTCAGCATGTTCTTGCTGTAGAGTAGTCTGTAGTCTTACAGAAGAGACAAATGCATAAACAGTTCAGAGGGACACAAAAGCAGGGCTTTGTTGGATGTGCTACTTTAAGTTATTGTGTGACTCACCAGATGTTGGAATTGTTGGGAAATCAAAGATAGGAATATCAACATTATATTTTATACTTTTCTAGGGAAGTGTCAGGGAGGACTCAACAGAGCAGGTAGAATTTGAGTTCCCTTGGCTGCATATGTCCTGGGAAAGGCATGGGATTCAAATGAGGCAATGACAGGAATGAGAAAGTCAAGCAATGTTGAAAGTGAATGCCTTGTTGGAAGAATAAGGTAGCTCAATTATGATATAGGGTATGTGGAATACAAAGTGAATGGCAGATGAAATCACAGGCACTAATTTAATACCTAAGTAGCCTTAATGCCCAAGAACTCTCTCAGTAAAAGGAGAAATTTGGGGGGGGAGGGGCAGGTAGCAGCAGTGTTTCTGAAGACAGAGGGTTTGGGGGGTAACGCCTTTAGCAAGTTTTACAGAAGATATAAATTGTACATCTGTGCCAGCCACTGCCCAGAGTAATGCAATTAAACTACCTTAGTGTTTAGCAATAAAATTTCTGATCATTTAAAAATGTGTGTATTAGGGAGTGGTTTTAGAAAAACAGGTGTGAGAAGCTTGGAAGTGGTTGTGGGGTGAATTGCAGACTCAGTGTGATCTGAGAGTATCACAGTTTAGAAGTCATGTAGCCAAACTCTTACTTTACAGAAGGAAAGTTTTTGTCTGGAGAGGGAAAGA